CCCCAGAGGCCCTTTCTGGGAAGTCACTGTTGTTAGGTGCAGTGGAGTCGACTCCGACTCATGGTGACCCTGCGCACAACTGAACGTAACACCGGCCACCCCTGCAGCATCGTGACAATAGCGGGGGGGGGGGAGCCCGTCGCTGCAGCCACCGCGTCAGTCCATCTCATTGAGGGTCTTCCCCAGTCTCACTGACGTCTACTTTACTGAGCATGACGTCATTCTCCAGGAACTGGTCCCTTCGGACAACATGACTGTGGTAGTCAAAAGTTGTGTGTCAACTTGGCTGGGCCTGGGTGACTGGCCGGGCAGCTGGTGGTAGTTATTCGCCATGATGAGACTGGCAATCAACTCCATGGTGGGATCTACCACAAGCAGCTGAGTAGCTGCTTTTGGTATGCAGTCTGCTTCCTGTATATAAGAAACAGCTTTGGGAATGGTCTCTAGCTTATGGCAGGCTTGAACCCTGCATGTAGCCAAGCCATTGTTCGGCAGCCTGCCAGGCTCTGCCAATCTTGGGACTTTTCATAGACTTGACTTATGGCCTGCCATGTGGTTTGGTAACATCAGGATTGTGCCTTGTTACTTGTCAACCTTGGGCTTGTCAGCCTCAGCAGCCAGCAGCTGAGCGAAGAAAAGCCTCCAGCTTCAGTGGGCCGGGAGCAGGAGGCAGAGCTGAAGCCCAAGGTTGAAGGGCTTTCACCCAGCCCCTAGAGCCTGGCACTTTGAACTTGGGCTTAAAGCCTCCAAACTGTATGAATAGACTCCTGTCTGTTAAGGCCATGCCACTGGTGGTATATTCCTGTCAGAGTGGCACCAGGGAACCAGAACAATGACATAAGCGTGTGAGATGGAGTCTGGCCATTATCCCTTCCAAGGAGAATTCTGACTGTGCTTCTTCCAAGACAGATTTGTTCATTCTTCTGGAAATCCATGATACACTCGATATTCCTCACCAACACCATGATTCAAGGCATTAATTCTTCCCCCGTCTTCCTTATTCATTGTCCAGCTTTTGCATGCAAGGTAGTGATTGAAAACACCATGGCTTGGGCCCTAGAAGCATTTGGGTGCTGAATGAAAGGTCAGCAGTTCAAACCCACCAGCCACCCCACAGGAGAAAGATGTGGCAGTCAGCTTCCAAGATTACAACCTTGGACTCAGTGGGGGCAGTTCTACTCTGTCCTATAGGGTCACTATGAGTCTAAATAAATTTGACAGCAACAGGCTTGGTTTTGATTGTACACTGTAGAAATTTTAGCAGCATCTTTGGCCTCTCCCTACCAGATGCCAGTAGCAAACCACTACGATGGCCAGCCTTTGTCTCACCTGCTTCGGTCATGTTGTAAGAAGGGACCATTCCCCGGAGAAGACTGTCATGCTTGGTAAGGTCAAGGAGGGTCAATAAAAAAGGAGAAGGCCCTCAATGAGATGGATTTTGACACAGTGGCTACAACGATGGGCTCCAGTATAGCAAGCATCGTGGGGCTGG